ATTGTATTTCTCTATATTTATGTTCTTAATTGTATTTCTCTATATTTATGTTCTTAATTGTATTTCTCTATATTAATGTATTTATTTATATTAATGTTCTTCTTAATTGTATTTCTCTATATTAATGTATTTCTTTATATTAATGTTCTTCTTAATTGTATTTTTATATATCAATGTTCTTCTTAATTGTATTTCGCTATATTAATGTTCTTCTTAATTGTATTTATCTATTTTAAAGTACTATTTAATTGTATTTCTCTATATATATACTTGAGGAGAGGCTGATCTGTTCCCTACATGTTAAAACTTTAGTAATCAAGTTAAGGTTCCTAAATGGATATATTTCAGTCGAAAATGGTGGCTGGAAACTTCTGAATAAAATCACCTTTATTTAAAAATAAGAAGAACTATTCACTTAAAAAATTTAATAGGAATTTATAAGAAAAGAGGAGCGTTAGATATATCTGGTTAACGTTTCATCGTGAATTTGATTAAAATTTTATTCAATCAAATTCATGATGAAACGGTTGTGATTTTACACTGTTTCAATTTTACATGTTTATTTAAGAATATTTTTAATTAATTTCTGCATGCATTATGTTATCTAAAAAAGAATTCAAACTTTAACACTTTTATTAAGTAAAAAAATATAGTAGTATATGAAATGATCTTTCATATTAGAAGTATTAAAGAATATTTGATGTTTCTATTATTTAACCACTAGAGTTAAAAAAGTTACTTTTATAACACATTTGTTATCAATTTGATTTATTAATCAAAAGAACAAAAATTCGTATCATTCGTCGTAAGAACTCGGAGAAAAATTTCAAGTAAAAAGTGGAAGTTGTCCTTTTCTACGGAAGGTAAGGGATGATGATCCAGCTCTATTGAATTATGTAGGAGAATGATCGAACTCTATGGATTTATGTGAGATGATGAAAAAACAATGAAATTATGTAGAATGTCGCTTCTTTTACTCTAGGAGTAGAAAATTATACCTGCCTTTCTTTATTCAACGAATGCTGGCGATATGAAGTCAATACGAATATGTTAAATCAGCTATGATTTAATAAGGGAGTAGAATAATTTTAAAATGAAATTATAAATGTCATTCACAATGAAAAAAATCTTTTCTTCAGAATTAGGAAAAGTCCTTTTTGAGAAAAGAAATTGGAAAGTATTTCAACATTTAAATAATGCTTTAAATTCTCTTATTGAATCGTAGGATTTTGAACTCCCAGCGTTCAGACTGTAAATAATAAACAATAAATCATTCGAAATTTTCAAAAAAATTTACTGCTTATAATAACAAATATTAATACAATAAATATATTGTAATTACTGATGTAACCAAAAAGTTTTTAATTAAGTTAACATTTCTCGCAAAAGAGTTAAAAAATTCAAGATATTTTTATTAGTTTTTAAGCGTATAAATAAGAAATATTAAAAATTCCAATTTATTCGTTTCATATTTTTATCCAACTCGCATTTTAAAGCTTTTCTTGGTTTCAAAGATGTCAGTGAGGAATTCTTTCGTTTATAAAATTGCAGTACTATTTTTATAGAAATTGAATCTGTATAATAATATAAAATTCATCGATAGGTTAGCTTAATTTAGTTTAAAGTGATTGGATTAAAATAAACTGAATGGTAAATATTATAAAAAAGATTTTTAAAAAACTTTATTAATAAGAAGCAAATTCATATATCAAAATTAAAAAAAAATGGATCATATATTCCCTCACGACTGTACTCCAAACTTTTGAAAACGCACTTTCTACTATTCTTAATGTGAAATTGATATAGATATTGTAACATTAATCGAACATCTTAAATACCTTTGTATTTCAGAGAGAAACTATTATAGTACTTGTTTATTAAATGCAAAAGTTTGTATATTATCAGATTTAAGCATCATAATAATTTAACTAAGAATTTATTAGCTTTATTAAAGTATTACAACATTATTTACTTAAATAAATTATTTTGGAGTAATAATTGTGTTGTTGAATCGTAAGGTGAAAATAACAAAGAATTTCTGGTCTAATTAATGCTTAATAAAATTAAAGATATCTTCACATGCATTTTTTTTTTCACATTTCCTGATTATATAACGCTTATGTGGTCCGTAACTTTTCCATGCTTGTTTCCTTATTTATAATAAATTTATTCAAGATAATTGGGCTTTCATCTGATTAATCACATACGCATCGTACAATTAATCACGTCTGACAAAAAAGAGTGATATACATATTTAATAAAACGTTAATTTCTATGCCTTACCAATCATATAATTTGTCTTACATACTTCAGTAATGCTCCATTCTTTTTTCAATTAACGGAAAAACAAAAAAGATCGCAACGCAACGGGAAAAAAAAGGCATCCGTTAGTTTAACGCTTGAATTTAGTACGTTTAATTTGAATTTTTAGAACATTAAAAAAGAACATTTAGCTAGAACATTTAGAACATTTAGCTGTCCCATACATTCGAATTTCTCTTCTGGCTCAATAAATAAGGCAGAAAAGTAAATGCGATTTCGACCGTTTACATTTTCTCAAACTTCAAAATTCCTTAATGATAATTAAATATCCATTCTCGTAAAACAAATCAATACATAAAGCTTTATTTTTCTTTAATGTTATCTTTGGTTATATTCATAGTTGTATAAAAAAAATGGATATATAATGTAGTCTCTTTTCCAAATTGTCAAATTTACTGATTATTTTTAAGTACAGTAAAATTTCGTCATGCCAAATTTATAGGGACCCCTACCGATTCCAAGTTATCGAAATTCTAAATTAGCTGAAGAATGGGAAAAAAAATTTAATAAATTACAGAAAATAATCTTTATGTTGAATAAATTGAATAGAAATTCTGTTTATGGAAAATAAAGATGTCTACTCTGTAAACAATAGAACTGCGTCTAAAGTTGTTTTATTGCATTTTTATTAAGACAATACAGCCCCGTATGTCATCTTTCACTGTTTCAGAGGTGAAATTAAGGTTTTATTGACTTTGCACGGAATTTTCGTAAAATTTCTCTCCCCTTAACACCCCGTTCATGTAATCATAGCCATTAGAAGATTTCAGTAAAGGAAATTATTTTTCTCTGTACGTGGATCAAAGAAATAAATGTTACTATAAAAATCTGCACTTCACTTCTCAAGTTTAAAAAGAATTCTTCATGCAGACCAATTCAGGTTATCCAAAGATACAAGTTAAAGGAGCCCAACTTAATGAGGTTCTATAATGCACATTTATTTAATGAAATTGAACTTAAGTTTATTTTGCGTCGTTAAGCATGCATTGATAAGAAATGTGTGTGTGCGATGTCAGCAGCATCTTTTCTAAATTCTGAATAGAGAGCGGTAGCCTAGTTGGAAGAGAAACAACTCATAACCGATGGATAACGCGTTCAAGTCTCAGACTTTCAAAGTCCATGATGTAGCAGGGTTGATATGTGTTACAATTTTTTTATGGCTCAACATCCTCCCGTTAGTGTGATTGTGAGTGATTGCTTATTAACGTAGCACTGAGAAGCAACACGAGGGCTATTGACGGTGGACCTCGTAAGTTTGAACCTCGGTCTAGTGATGAGGAGACACCTTAACAGGCTCCTCTCTCTTTCCAAACTTAAACACCTCGTCAAAGGAAGGACTTAGGATCTCGACCAGATTTAACATGCATCGGCCCCGCTACAAGGCGGATATTTAATGGCCTCTGGAGTCGAACAGCCGACTCGGCGAAAGCAACGCCGGCCGTCAGTCCGCGACCATGACCACTAAGCTATCGCAGCCTCTCTTCCCGTTGGTGTAGCATGGATATGTGGAGTGGGCTCCAGCTCTAGTGTTATCCGCTCACCTGATTGTAACTGAAAATTGCGAGGTGTGTGTGTGTGTGTGTGTAACATACATTAATATAAATCAACCAATATAAATCTAAATAATTTCATTTCTTGAAGTTAGTGATTTTAACAAGAGGCTTAATTTATTCTATTATTAAAATCATTAACTTCAAAGGCTAACAGATTCGATTGAAAGTATTGTTCGAAACATTGACAACTGCTATGCGTAAAATTAAACTACCTAGATTTCACAAATGGCACAACGTACTAATTTGGAATGTGAGATATAGCTTTGGAGTCGTCCTTAGCAACGAATAGTTTAAGACGGCTTTTTATTGCTCGTCTCGTCTGCCGTCTTAAAAGTTTTATCACAAGACCTAAATTTCAACTTATGTCACAGACTAATTAATTAAAAGAGTCAATTATATCCAAAATATCCTTATTTAATCCTCAAATAAGGGGAATGCTCTCCCAGATATTTAAGTTCCTTTTCCGCGAATACTAACAACTTTTACAATCTACCAAAGAATACGCTTATCAGATTAGGATTGCAAGAACCTCTTACAATTTTCCGACAGAATCAAATCATCTATACACACCAGAAGACTTCCGCACACACTTCACAATAACACCCTTCTCATTATCTTAACTTTTATTACCTTCAATTCAATTCTCTGTCATTTTTATGACTCGATTATTATACTCTACTTCCGAAGTTTACTTAATTTGTGTCAAGTTTCATTTGACTGAGAAGTTGGGAACTAAAATAAATTAGGAAGAAACTCCAAATGTTAGTTGAAGGGAAGATCACGAATAGCCCATGTTGTAAATTATCCGAAAAAATTCAAAAAGAATAAGAATAGAAGTGAGAAAAAGTTTGAGAAACAAAGTTTATAAAGTTTAACATGGGGAATAATTTAACACCCCGACATAAATTCTTAAGATTTTTTAAGATCTTGATTTCTAAAGTCCCATTTCATCTTCTGGATCGCTCAAATAATTTTCAAAGTCCTACCAGCTTTAAAAAAAAATACGACAAAGATCGTACAGTAAGTAAAATACGCGAAAAAAATAACTTCATTTAGAAAATAACATCTGTCTCTAAGCAATGACATTAAGGTCACTCTTGATTCGTTTTCAATCTATGTGCACAATCACCAAAGAAAGAGCTCTGTAAAAATCATTCAACAGCAAAACACTTTTTTTTAAGAGGGAGAGAAAAAAATGTCTTAATTCGTAGCACCTGGTCCTTTTTTCACCTATTTATTTTCCATCTCTGCCTCTGTTCATGCGTAATGGTTTTTTGATTGCAGGGGCTGGAAACCTTCAGGTGTTAATTTCTACTGAAGGGAGAAATACCCACCTCATATTTTCCTCAAACAATTATCAACAGCTACCCTGGATTCTTTTTTTCCTTTAAGGGGTATTGGCAGGTATACCTCCTGGGGTGTTTTGCGGCTCAGAATAGCAAATGTTCAACCTCCCTCCCTCCCTATTCTTGTAAAGGTAGAATATGCGTTTCTCAAATCGTCAAGCTGTAGATTACTTACCCATTCAAGGTATGGCGGAAAAGCTATCCTCCAGGGTATAAATGTAACCCGGGATGTAGCCTTCATTGCAGAATAAAAGTTGAATTTAGTGTGCTGCGCAGTAATAAAGTCAGCACATTTGTTCATGATTGGAATATTTATGTTTACATGAATGTTCTGACTTCCGTAAAAGCATAGGTAAAAGGACTGTGAAACATAAAAGAGGAAGATTTACCATCCCTTTATCTTACATGCTCTAAAAATTTCATTTTAAGGCATCCCTTCAAGTGTAATAAACGCCGTCATCTGAAGGATTTTGGTTAGAATATGAAAACTATTGCTTGTCCTTGAAATGTGCGTTCTTAGAGCTTTACCCTCCCCTCCCCCCAGGACCGGTTGTACTATCATAAGCAAATTTTTGTGTGACTGCTTTAATAGATCGTGCACTTTTATTTATTATTCTCTCCTTCCTTAGTAAAAATTGGTTAGAATTGTAGATACCTAGAATTACTTACTGGAATCATCACAACGATAAATTTGGCAATTATGGCCATAAATATAGATTACATTTGGTCAAATTTTGTGAGTGGTTAACTTAAAGGTTAAATTATTACTAAAAAATAACTGATATATCAGGATAAAATTTATTCTGGACATTAATTTATCCTTAAGTATATGATGTTGTAAGTTACAACTATTAATGGTGATTTGTTTGGTTTCAGGAAGTCATAGATTGAAGTAACTCGCAACATGGAGAAGACAAGAGTTCAGGCTGCCTATTTCTACAATGACGGCCTTCGAAAGATCAAAAAACACTTGGAGAAATGTACAATTCTGAATGACTATGCAGTGAAGTCTAAAGAGTAAGAAATAAAATTATGCTTCTACCTCTACTGGTTTTTATAAAAATTAAAATTTATGATAATGGGGGATAATAATTAAAACTTTACGATATTGCGGGTCACTTCAGTCTACGGCTTCCTGAAACCAAACAAATTAGCTCGAATAGCTGTAATTTGCAACATTATGCACATAAGGACCAATCAAAAAGCAGAATAAACTTTCTCCATGTAAGTCATTTAATTCTTACCGATAATTAAACCTTAACAAAACCTCCTCGTATTTTAACAGATTTTTTTCCTTCTTTTTACGTATAATCACACCTGACGAAACATAATCAATTACATTATCTAGGAAATACTTTGCTCATTCGAAACAGTAATCATAATACTTTAAGCTGTTTAGATTCTAAAATTGCAGTTAATAAATTTTTAAATTAATTAGATTCTAATGTTACTTCGAATTTAGATTTTAAAATTTCAGTTCCATTATGCAAATAAAGACTCAAGTACTTTATATCTTAATATAAAGAAGAGTGTAATATTATCTTTTAGTTGTTGAAAGCTACTTTTTAATTATTGCCCACGTAAAGAAATTCTCTCAAATTATATTGCTCTTTTAGTCTTATTAAAACAACAGGGGGGATTTTGAGGACTATTTCCTTAGGATACATAAGAAACTTCAGTATTTTGTTTGAGAAATTTTTTTCGTGTTTTATACTGCTATATCATTTATCGGATATTTAATTTGTTGAAGAATATACTCGTAGTTGTTTGTAAATAACTATATTAAGTTGTGAGAACTGTTCTTACTTTTATTGTTGCGACCGTGATAGCCGAGTGGTTAAGAGTTCTTTCCGTAAATTCATGAGTTCGAATCCTGATGCCCCTATAAACCCATAGTGTAGCGGAGTTGATGCATGTTACGTCTGTTGAGGCTCATAATCTTCAACTAAAGATGGTGTGATAGTTAAGAGAGAGGGGTGCAAGTTCAGACGTTTCTCCTCATCGCTCGACCGAGGAAACTAAGGACTATCGGCGACGGATCTCGTAGATCAGTCGCCAATAGTCCCCATGTTGCTGCTAAGTGTGATGTTGATAAACAAGCAATTCAAACAAGTACTTTTTTTTGTTTCATTTTATACGATTTTATTCTACTCTGATAATTCTACTTTCCCCAACGACTCAACGTTCATTTCCCGAAAATTGCTTATGCTAATAGGTTTGAAATTAAAATCAACTGCATCTTCTGGTTTTAAAAATAATGCTGCACTCAAAAGCAGTCAAAAGGACAGACGGGAGAGATCAGAAAAGTTGAGTTCATCCTGTGAGCAGGAGATGTATTTGCACTTCCCTGATAGTAGCAGACTTATTTAATTTGGATTTAATCACTAATTCGTGAGTTAACTTTACTCGTAACTGCAGCTTCCATTTATTCCCCACATCGTTTAATGATTATTGTTCCCTTAAGTAGAGTCTTACTTTTGTTATGGTTCTAAGTTGAGAGTTTGTAAAAATAATTTATTGAATGAAAAGAACTATTTAGTTACTTAATCACCTTTGCGTGTTTGATTATTGAAACTCTGAAGCTACTAGAAGATATATAACTACTTGAGAGATATAACTATTATCTAATAGCTATATCTCTCAAGTTGAGAGCATGTTAATAATTTAATTCATGAAAAGAACTATTTAGTTCTTATTCAATCGTGTATGAGGTATTCATTACTAAAACTCTGGAATTACTATTTTATCTGTACCTTTCAAGTTGAAAGTTTGTAAATAATTTTTTAATGAAAAGTGCGAATTAGTTCTTATTCAATTGTCAGTCACCTATGAAGGTTTGATTACTAAAACTCTGGAATAACTACTTTAGTTTTTCCTCCAAGTTGAGAGTTTATAAATAATTAATTTAAGGGAAAATGACTAATTAGTTTTTAATGAATCACATGTAAATATTAAATTATTAAAACTCTGAAACTAGAAAAATTATAGCTCTTAAGCTTCTTAAGCTTAGAAAATATGTTAATAAGTTATTTAATGAAAAGCACTATTTAGTTCTTAGCTAATCGCCGGTGAGACTTTGATTTCTAAAATTCTGGAATTACTATCTTTCAAGTTGAGAGTTTGCAAATAATTTATTTAATGAAAAGTACGAATATTAGTTCTTACTTAATTATCTATGAGTGTTTGATTATTAAAAATTGGAAGCTACTATGTATATAATTAGTAATATCTCTCAAATAAAAAGCTCCTAAATAATTTATTTAATGAAAAGAACTATTTAGTTCTTAGTCAATGGCCTGTGAGGCTTTGATTGCTAAAACTGTGGAACTACTAGATAAATTAGTTAAGTATATTTAACTTCAAATCTCATAAAGCATGTGGATTAATTTTTTACTTTTTGTAAAAACTTTTGAACAACTGATTAATTGACAAAAAAAGAAACATTTTCCCGTACAAAAATGTATAGAGAACTGAGCAACACCTTCATATGCTCCAAACCAATTTTGAGTTTAATCCTAAAAATACATTTGTAGTTAAATACAGATAATGCTCCACCAAATGGAAAACCTTCTGCATT